CTAGATCTGCCCACTGGTGGTGTGCCCCTGCCTTGCCTTTGCCCAAAGCCGCTCCTGCCCCGGCCTTCTTGCTTGCTTGCCTGCGGTGTCACCCACTGGCCACTCCCTCTCTATGCGTGCTCTGCCCCTGCCTCCATGTGCTGGTCTCGCCGCTCTAACTAACCACCACCCGCACCGCACAGCAATGCCAAGCCTGGCGTCACTGGATTCGCGCGCACGGCATTGCAATGCCGCTGCCGATCGAGGCGTGACGGACTAGCCAGCCGGCCGAGACGAGCAAGCAAGATTTCGTCTGGTTCTGTTGGGGGGCGGTTGGCTGCTTGCTTGGCTGATTCCTCTCGGGCGCAGCACCCGCCGCCGCCGCCGGCATGTTCAAGTCGGCGAGGTGGCGCGGCGCCGGCAAGGCCAAAGCCGTGTTCAAGCTGCAGTTCCACGCCACCCAGGCACGGCACGACCCCCCGCTCGCTCCGGAAGAAGCAGAGTTTTCGTCTTGGTTCTTGTTTTTCGCGTTCGATTTGAGGCGTGACGGACGGAGCGCGTGTTCCTGCAGGTGCCGGAGCTGGGGTGGGAGTCCATGATGGTGGTGGTGACGCCGCAGGACGTCGGCCGGCCCACGGCGCGGACGGAGCGCGCGGAGGTCGCCGACGGCGCCTGCCGCTGGCCCGCCCCGATCTTCGAGGCCACCAAGCTCCCCTCCGGCAAGGCGGCCGCCGGCGACAAGATCTACCAGTTCCTCGTCTACGAGACCGTGAGCGACCAGCCGGCCCCACATTAATCAATCGAGAGCGATCGTGCTCGATTTGTTCTGACTCGGCAATGCCGTGCGGTCCGTGCAGGGGTCGGCCAAGGCGGCGCTGCTGGGGGAGGCGACGGTGAACATGGCCGAGTACGCGGAGGCGTTCAAGCCGTCGGCGGTGACGCTCCCCCTCAAGGGCAGCCCCGCGCCCGGCGCGCTGCTGCACGTGAGCACCCATCTCCACCCTCCCCCCACCTCTTAAAAAGCTTGCGGCGTTTTCCTGTGACCTGTGACGGCGACGCGCTCGCGGCTCCTGATTTTGATGGTTGCTGCTGCTGTTTCCTGTGACAGGTGACCATCCAGCGGGTGGTGGGTGGTGCCGGCGGTGGGTGCGGTGACGACGGGAGGTAGGTCGCCTTGCATCGCGTTGGTTGGAGATTAGTTTAGACACATCCGCTGCCTTCTGGTTTGAGCTTTAAGAGATCATCTCATCTCACATCAACCAGATTCACTTAGACATTGCTGCTAGCTGCATTGTGGCTGTTTGCGCTTTGAGGATTGTGCCTGTGCCTGTTGCATTCCGGTGTGTGCCTTAGGCATGGTGCATTTGCTTTGATTCAGGGGTTGATTGTGTAATTGGGTACTGATTCTTGCTCTTTGCGGCGACAGTGAGAACGGCGACACCGCAAAGTCTTCGCCGCGGAGGACGCTGCAGAGCCAGCTGAGCCGGTGCGAGGACGAGGAAGCCGAGAAGGCGAGGTCGCTTGCTGCCGATTCGATGAGCCCTGTGCATGTAAGTAACCAGTGAGGCCTAGTGGGGAAGAGTCCTTGAGAGCTTTCCTTTTTTGATCCATCATCATTGCATTGCTCTGTTTTATTTCTGTTGATGCCCAAGAAAGAGAGCTTTTGGCATGCTAAGCATATTGCAAAGAAAAAGGGAAGCTACGTTTGTCTAGTTGATCATTTCGGGGGGTCACATTTGCTGCGTGGTACTTTTTGTTTGAGATCTGAATTTCTCATTCCTGTAGTGAAGGGGGAGAATTTAGAACTGAACAATGCATGGGCTATGTCATCTTCCCCTATGTTCATCAGATAGTAACTGATAGCTTTCTTGTACAGGATGGATTGGTGATAAGCAAACCACCAGGGATGAGGTTTCCCTTGAGAAGAAATATGCCGGCATCTGTTGAGCCGGCCGGCCACCTCCACAATGCCAATGGCTTTGACGCCGTTTCGTTGTCGGGTTCAGATGGGAGCTCAGGGAGATTCACTCCCAAAACCAGTGCGAACATGCATAGCACATTTCTTCAGGATGCGACCAATGTCCTCTCGCCTTTTGCCAACAATGCCACCTCGAGAAACCCATTGAGCTCTGGTGACTGGTCAGGAAGCTCAGCTCCTGACGCTAGCACTGATGGGTCGACGAGCAACTCGGGTGAGACGGGGTTGAGAGGTGCAGAGGATGATGTAGAGAAGCTGAGAAGTGAGATAGGGACTTTGACAAGAAAACTGGATGTCTCAGACATGGAGTTGCAGACACTCAGAAAGCAAATTGTAAAAGAGAGTAGGCGAGGTCAAGACCTTTCCAAGGAAATGAGTAGCTTGAGGGATGAGAGGGATGCACTCCGAGGAGAATGTGAAGGCCTTAGAGGGATGAAGAAGACGATCCATGATGCAAATGGATCAGGTAAACGGTTGTCAGACGGGGAAGATCCCTGGTCTCAGGTTGAGGAGCTGAAGCAAGAGCTGGGCCATGAGAAGAATTTAAATGCAGATCTACGTGTACAGCTACAGAAAATGCAGGAGTCCAACTCTGAGCTGCTTCTGGCTGTGAAGGATCTTGATGAAATGCTGGAGCAGAAGAATAGAGATATGTCCATTTTGCAAGAAGAAACAGTAGAGGATCCCCAGGAGGCAGAATATGAGCATGCACTGTCAAATGTGCACAGTGCTGGACACAAGATGGACATGTCTGAAACAAGTTCGTACCAAGAGAAAGAAGACGAGCTTATGTTGGATGCATTGGTGAAGAAGAGTGACGGCATCGCTAGTTCTGAACTGCAAGAGAAGATTCTTGAACTGAGTGATGAAATTGAGCTGTACAAGAAAGACCGTGAGGATCTTGAGATGCAAATGGAGCAGCTTGCACTTGATTATGAGATTCTGAAGCAAGAGAACCATGACATCTCTTCGAGGCTGGAACAAACACAACTTAGAGAGCAGCTAAGGATGCAGTATGAGTGTTCAGCACATTTGTCTATAATAAGTGATCTTGAGGCCAATGTCGAGAATCTGGAGAATGAACTCCAGGAACAATCTCAAAGATTAGAGGCTGATATAGCAGAAGTACTGGCTGCCAAGGTTGAGCAAGAGCAGAGGGCCATAAAGGCCGAGGAGTCTCTGAGGAAAGCGCGGTGGAACAACGCTACCACTGCCGAGCGACTTCAGGAGGAATTCAAGAGTCTATCTTCACAAGTATCTTCTGCTTTCAGTGCCAACGAACGGCTGCTTGTGCAAGCAAGAAAAGAGGCCGCAGAACTACAGTTGCAGAAGAGCCAGTTGGAAGAGTTACTGCAGAAAGCCCACGAAGATGCCGCATCAGTCCAAGAACAACACCGGGTGAAGATTCAGCAGTTACTTACCCTAGTGGATTTCAAGTCGAATGAGATAGATAGGCTGGTGGTGGAGCTCAAGAGCAAGAGCGACGAGTTCGAGAACCAGAAGAGAAGTGATGAGTCAAAGTTAAATGATCTATCAGAAGAAATTGAACAGCTCAAAGCCAAGATTGACAAGCTATCAGATGAGAGAGACAAACTCGTGGAAAGGAATGAGCAGAAAGACATGGAATTGGCTGCAAATGGTGAAAAGGACATGATCTTGCAAGACAAAACTGGTGAAATTACTTTGCTCAATAAAGAGCTTGCATTGCTCAAGGACCAAATGCAGACATATTTGGAGGAGCTAAACACTCTGAAACGCTCCAAGAGTGAAAGGGATGAGACAATAGGGAAGCTACAAATAACCATTGGATCGTTGAAACTCCAGTACGACAATATGAAGAACTCGTTGTCCACAAAGGAGGCTGAGAAAAGCAACCTTGCTTCTCAGGTGCTGAAGCTGAGAAGAGCCCTTGAAAGCAGGGAAGGTGCCAAGGAAAATGGTGTCACTTCAGATACAACGGTAAATATCGAAAACCAGATATATTTATAGCAAGATGACATAGTAATAGTTTCATTAGTTTACTTTCTGTACTTACTTTTCATGCTAGCTTTCTCTCATATGTGTAACAGAGAAGGCATATGTAAATAGATAGATCAACAACTGAAAACTTTCCACAAACAACCAACAAAAACTCATCCTGAACAAAGAAAATCATAGAATATTTCCACAAGAACTCTCATTTAAACCAGTAGGTGTACCTTCCCTTTTGTATTTAAGTCAGCATGCTGGACAGTGCACACACTCTTAAAACCCATGAGTTTGTGGGTTGTCAAAACAAATAAAGTAGGTGTCACTGTGTAGAGATTTTCCATTATTACGTGTTTTGTTGCACATGGGAAGATAAATCTGGCTCTAGCTACTTATATCCACTATTATGCTGTACAACCTGCTTCCTAGTGGATAGGGACAGCTTTGAATGGAGGCCCCCACCAGTGAGAATATGATATTTCAGTGCATGGATCTGTTGGGCCTTTTCATAGCAATGCTCATGCTGCAATCATACACTTTGGTGCCTCGAAAGTGACACACCATGTTATGCTTTGCAGGATAATCAGCACACTAATTCGAAGCGCATCAAGCACGATACTGTCAGCACCGGTAACGGTGATGCCGCGCCAAGCGCCAACGGACACAGCAACGGCCACGACACGAGGTTATCATCTGGAATTAGATTACCGCAATCGGTCTTCTTAGCTTTAACTCCAGTTATACATATAGGAGCGGAAATGACTGACATAATTTGCTGCTGTTGATTTTTCTCGCTGCCAGGGCCGCTGCTGAGCAGTCCTCAAAGGAGCTGGAGTCTCTAAAGGAGACGAACAAGGCGATGCAGCAAGAGCTGAACGAGCTGCACGAGCGGTATTCGGAGATAAGCCTCAAGTTCGCGGAGGTGGAAGGTGAGAGGCAGCAGCTGGTGATGACGGTGCGGACGCTGAAGAACTCGCTGAGATGATCCATGGCTGCTGCTGCCTGCTCAGCGTTCACTCACCCACATGTAGCTTCAGGATTAGGTGATGATACCCCCCTCCCCTCCCCAAAAGGAGGGTTTTGTATAGGCGAGCAGCTGGATGGTGAGTTGTATGGAGCATCATCATCCGGAGACTTGCAGAGGCCAGGCAAGGGTCCTCTGGCCTGTCACAATACACAGCATGTAGATCCGTTCCCCCACACAATAATGTTTCTGTGTTTTTTCCTCTTCGGCATTGATGTGTGCAGGATGTGTCAGTTGTTGTGCGTGCCTCTAGAGAGAGCCCAATGTGTGTGTGTATGTGTGTTGTATAATTCTCTTGATGTTTGGCTGTGCTGGAAGAAAGAAAAGTGAGAGATGAAAGAAATGAAGGGACAATTTGAACCTTTTCTTTTGAAGCAACTGACCATTTGAACTTGGACTCACAGCGTATCGATGTTCCTGTCTATCTGGCCGAAGTTGCACGCAAATTTCGGATCACCCCTGGGTCGCTCGTCAGGGCGGCTTTCTCGGTGATCTCCGGCGCCACCGCCTCCCCAGTGCCCCTCCCGCCGGCGACCGCTGCGGCAGGCCCTGCTTCCTTGTTTTCCTTGGCTCTCCCTATCTCCGTCCAGGCGGCTCGGCAGATCACCACGGTTGCCTGCGGCTGCCCGGCGCAGCGTCTCCCTGCGCTCTTGCGTCTCATCTTCCGTCATCCCAGGTGCGAGTTGTAGCCATGGAGCATGTTGGTTGTACCAGCAGTGGTGGCATTTTGTCATTTCCTCGCGGAAGGAATTGTGTGAAAACCCTTGATCTAACTTCATGTGTTGGACAAGGAGATGAAGACGCTCATGCATCGTCCCTTCTTCATTTTTTCGGGGGAAAGGGAGCTTATATTAAATTAGGGTGGGAATTCGGAGTGCGGCGTTTCGGTGCCCGGGTGCATCTGCACCCGTTCAAAAAAAAATTCGTAAAAAATTCAGAAAAATTCAAAAAATTCCGAAAAAAATTGAGGTGGTGGATGATTTGATGCGTGAGGTGCGCCCCAATTTTCAAAACATTTGGACTTATGTGCAGCTCTCAGCAAAAAAGATAAATCAGACCAAAACAATATATGAACAGTACACATTTTTACAGACCTCCGATTTATCTTTGAAACATTTAAAATTAATGTTTTGAAATTAATGTTTTGAAATTGGAGCATGGGAAGCACCCCAAGATTGGGATTACAAAGAAGGTGATTGACTCCGCGTGCAAAAGCGAAGATCCCCTGCTAAATACCAGAATTTCACCTTATATAGGGATGGTATATTGTCCAGGTTTACAACAGTCGGGTGTGTTATGAAATAGTTAATGTCGAGTGAAAACTGCCCAATAACTATACACTAGAAACTTCTACTTGATGGCTGGATTCGTTGTAATTGCAGGTAATGGCTCCGTTGAAACGTCTGCTTTATTGCGGAGTAATGTTTGCGTCCAGCCGACTGTTCTCTGTATATTGCTCCAAACTACTGGTCTCCTTGGTGATCATTCATCCGACCGAGTGAGTCTACCCGGTGGTAATAACCTCACCACTAACCTCGGTAGGAGGGAATGTTACAAACTTTTGTCCATTTTGCATCAGTTGTAATAATTTTTAATAAATCTGTTATGCCTTGTAACCCCTAAAAAAGGGTCATGTGTGTGGAGTTTTAGCTTTAACTTAGAGCATCTCCAACAGACGCCCAATATTAGCGACGCGCCCAAAAAACCGCAAGTTTAGCGCGCGCGCAGTCAAAAGTAGCACTCCAGCGGACGCTGCATAATAGAGCACGTTGTAAAAAGCGTTCAGCGTGCCGGACGAAACTGGATCACAAGCCGTATATTTAGCGCTCGAGCTCCAGCGCGCTGAACTTTTCACGCGCGTGGAAAGTGCCTCGTGCGCCTGCATCCGCCGTTTGCCTCCTCGCATGCGCGTGCCAGCTCGCCAGCCGGCCACGGGCGGGGCGGACCGCGGCCACGGCCACGGCGGCGGCGGGGCGGGGAGGAGCGCAGGCGTGACCCCGGCACGGTGGCTGTGACGCCCCCGATTCAATCGTACACTAATCATGCACGCAAATGTGTACGATCAAGATCAGGGACTCACGGGAAGATATCACAACACAACTCTACAAATAAAATAAGTCATACAAGCATCATAATACAAGCCAGGGGCCTCGAGGGCTCGAATACAAGTGCTCGATCATAGACGAGTCAGCGGAAGCAACAATATCTGAGTACAGACATAAGTTAAACAAGTTTGCCTTAAGAAGGCTAGCACAAACTGGGATACAGATCGAAAGAGGCGCAGGCCTCCTGCCTGGGATCCTCCTAAACTACTCCTGGTCGTCGTCAGCGGGCAGCACGTAGTAGTAGGCACCTCCGGGATAGTAGTCGTCGTCGACGGTGGCGTCTGGCTCCAGGGCTCCAGCATCTGGTTGCGACAACCAGAAAGGAAGGAAAGGGGGAAAAAGGGGGGAGAAAGCAACCGTGAGTACTCATCCAAAGTACTCGCAAGCAAGGAACTACACTACATATGCATGGGTATATGTGTAAGGAGGCCATATCAGTGGACTGAACTGCAGAATGCCAGAATAAGAGGGGGATAACTAATCCTGTCGAAGACTACGCTTCTGGCAGCCTCCGTCTTGCATCAAGTATAAGAGAGTAGATTGAAGTCCTCCAAGTAGCATCTCATAGCATAATCCTACCCGGCGATCCCCTCCTCATATCCCTGAGGTAGAGCGACCACCGGTTGTATCTGGCACTTGGAAGGGTGTGTTTTATTAAGTATCCGGTTCTAGTTGTCATAAGGTCAAGGTACAACTCCAAGTCGTCCTGTTACCGAAGATCACGGCTATTCGAATAGATTAACTTCCCTGCAGGGGTGCACCACATAGCCCAACACGCTCGATCCCATTTGGCCGGACACACTTTCCTGGGTCATGCCCGGCCGCGGAAGATCAACACGTCGCAGCCCCACCTAGGCTCAACAGAGAGGCCAGCACGCCGGTCTAAACCTAAGCGCGCAGGGGTCTGGTCCCATCGCCCTGAGCACACCTGCACGTTGCGAGGGCGGCCGGAAGCAGACCTAGCCTAGTAGGCGTTCCAGTCCAATCCGGCGCGCGCCGCTCCGTCGCTGACGTCTGAAGTGCTTCGGCTGATACCACGACGTCGGGATACCCATAACTACTCCCACGTAGATGGTTAGTGCGTATAGGCTCGTAGCCAGACTCAGATCAAATACCAAGATCTCGTTAAGCGTGTTAAGTGTCCGCGAACGCCGAACAGGGCCAGGCCCACCTCTCTCCTAGGCGGTCTCAACCTGCCCTGCCGCTCCGCCATAAAGATCCACACAGAGGGCCGTCGGGACAAAGGTCCGTTCAGCCCCCAATCCGTGAATCACTCGCGGGTACTCTTCGAGCGGACCCGACTTTAGTCACCATCTGTATAGTATGTATGTATGTATAGTATATACCCATGATCACCTCCCGAGTGATCACGGCCCAATAGTATAGCAAGGCAGACTGACAAGAATGTAGGGCCAA